GATAGAAGGTCGTTAATTTTCTGGATGAATCACCTCGTCGCAGCCTTAATGAGGCTACTTTAGACAGCTGCAGGTAATACCACGGCGCTGAGGTTAGCTTCCGGACCCCTTGGAGGAGAGGCTGCAAGCAAAGGTGCTTATCGCTATTTCCAGTGGTTACCTTTGCTTATCGGAAAGCAAAACAAAGCCCTTTAAAACAACCACAGCTGCCACAAAGTGCTGTACATATAAAATCAAGAACATTTAAACACATAAAAACAGTTGTTAAAACATTAAGATCAATAAAAGTAATAAAAACAGTGCAGATCAAATTCAGTGTGTGCTAAAAGCCAGGGAGTAAAAATGTGTTTTTAAAAGAGTTTTAAAACTGGACAGTGAAGGGGCTTGTCTGATGGGAAGAGGGAGATCGTTCCACTGTCTTGGAGCAGCAACAGAAAAAGCTCTGTCCCCTCTGAGCCTCCGCTTAGACCTCGGCACCTCCAGGAGCAGCTGATCAGCTGATCTGAGGCACCGAGCAGGAGAGTATGGGTGAAGCAGCTCAGAGAGGTAGGATGGAGCAAGACCATTTAAACTTTTAAAAACAAATAAAATAATCTTAAAATGAACTCTAAAATGAACAGGCAGCCAGTGGAGTGAAGCCAGAGTGGGGGTGATGTGCTCCCTTTTTTGAACTCCAGTTAGAAGCCGAGCAGCAGCGTTCTGGACCAACTGGAGATGTCTGAGGGAGGATTGGCTGACTCCAAGGTAAAGAGCGTTACAGTAATCCAGCCGAGAGGTGACGAAGGCATGGATTACTGTTTCCAGCTGCTGTTTTGTAAGGATGGTCTTTACCTTAGCCAGCTGTCTGAGGTGATAAAAACTGGTCTTGACCACCGCTCCAATCTGGGACTCTAATTTAAAATCACTGTCCATTTTAAAACCCAAGTTAGAAACAGTTTTCTTTACATGTGGTGTCAGAGGGTCCAGATCAACAGGGCAAGGTTCACAAGAGCCACTAGGACCAAACACCATCACTTCTGTTTTCTTTTCAATGAAATTTAAGAAGTTTAAAGACATCCAGGCTTTGATGTCTTCAAGACACAACAGAAGTGGCCTAATTGAGGGGGCATCTTTCTTTTTAAGTGGCATATAGATCTGACTGTCGTCAGCGTAACAATGAAAAAAGATCCCATGCTTTCTAAGGATTGATCCCAATGGAAGCAGGTAAAGGGAGAAAACAGGGGACCTAAAATAGAGCCCTGTGGAACCCCAAAACACAGAGGAGCAGTGGAGGATTCAGACCCAGCTATGTTGACAGACATGGTTCTTTCTGCCAGATAGGACCTAAACCATCTCAGTGCAGTACCACAAATACCCACTTGGCGCTGTAAGCGTGATATTAAAATGTTATGGTCCACGGTATCAAAGGCAGCTGTTAGGTCGAGCAGGACAAGAACCACATGTTCACCAGAATCATTAGCCATAAAAACATCATTAAAAACTCTGACTAGAGCTGATTCTGTGCTGTGGTGAGTTTTGAAGCCAGACTGAAAAACCTCAAGGATATTGTGCTCATCCAGAAAACATTTGACTTGTGAATATACAATTTTTTCTAAAAAATTTTAAATAAAAGGCAGCTTGGAGATGGGCCTAAAATTAGCCAAGACAGCTTGGTCTAGGCTAGGCTTTTTAAGCAGGGGCTGCACCACAGCATGTTTAAAATTTATTGGGACAACACCTGAGGACAGACTGCTATTGATAACAGCAAGAATCACCTGCCTGATGCTGGAAAACACCTCTTTTAAAAGACGAGGGGGGACAAGGTCACGAGGAGAACCTGATGGTCTAATATGGCCGACCACATCCTCTAAAAGGGTCAGGGTCACTGGTTCAAATCTATCAAACACAGCCAGGCAGGGGACCAAGCAGGAGGGGTCAAAAGCAGGGGCTGAAATAAGGGCCCTTGTGGTAACAACCTTATTTATAAAAACTGCATGAAGTCATTACAAAGTTCAGTAGAGGCTTCCAGACAGACAGGTTGTGGGGCCTTCAGGACAGAGTCAATAGTTTTAAAAAGGACACGTGGATTATTATGATTGGACACAATAATATCTGACAAGTGTTGTTTTTTGGCCTCTTTAACAGTATTCTGGTACTGACGTTGACAGTCCTTTAAAATGAAAAATGAAACCTCCAGTTTATCCTTTTTCCATCTCCGTTCAGCTCTGCGGCACTCCTGTCTGGCTGCAATAGTTTTTTCATTAAACCAGGGTTCGGATCTGGCTTTAGGCCACACCAGTTTAGATGGAGCTACACAGTCCAAAATAGTTTGACAGGAGGAGTCAAACCAGGTGCTCAGCTGTTCGGTGTCAGCAGCAGAGCCAGAGGGAGCACAGAGCTGTTCAAAGGCAGCAGAGAACTGGCCAGCAGTGGAAGGGTTAAAAACTCTACGTCGCTGGGCGGGAGCGCAGGATTTAGCTGGAGCACAGGACAAACCAACATCAAATAAAACAGGCCTATGGTCAGAAATCACATTATCATATAGTTCCAGGTCGTTCATAGACAAGCCGTGAGAGAGAACCAGGTCCAACGTGTGTCCATATTCATGTGTGGGACCAGCCACCCACTGAACCAGGTTGAATGAGTCAGTGAGGCTGAGAAAGTCCTTCACCAGTGGTTTCTCTGGGTAGCATACATGTATGTTAAAATCCCCAACAATAAGCACTCGATCATAGTTTATCATTATTACAGTCAGGAAATCAGAAAAGTCATTCAAGAAATCCTTATTATATTTAGGGGTTCTGTAGATGACAGCGCACAGCACGGGGTGTGAGCGACCCACCTCAAATAAAGTCACCTCGAAGCTAAACATTAAACAACATTATCAATGTGTCCATCTGGGGTAAATAATAATACACCATAAATTTGGTGCAGATCGGATGATATATCACTGAGATATAAGTGATTAAATAATGTAGGGGGCGCACTTGAGTCAAAAGTAAAAAAAAAAATAGTAATTTTTCCACAAGTGCTTACTAATGACGCAACAAAAATCTGGTGCAGATCGGATGATATATCACTGAGATATAACAGTTTCAAAATTCTAGGGGGCGCACTTGAGTCAAATATTAAACAACAAAACCAATATGTCCATCACCATCACACCATTGTTATGAAATATTTATTCTAGTGACTATCTAGTGTAGGTTTTATTTTTTTTTTTTTTTTTTTTTTTTTTTTTTAATAGGATAGAAAGAAAGAAAAGACAAAGTAAGACTCCAAAATATAAGAAATATACACAAAGAGAGCACATGGCAAAATACCCGGCCACTGTCTGTTCACCTGCAAAGAACATGACAAAACACAGCAACAAAATACATATGTATAAAAAACTTAAAATATTCATGGCTTTGCAGTAAGTTTCCATAAATTTATATGCCCATACCTACGCCTATATAAATACATACATACACATGAATATTCATTCATATACATATTTCGGTCTTTCAATGTGAAAGTTATAGCGTTTGGAAATTTATGGCGTGAAGCTCAACTTTGAGGCCTGGCCACGCCCCTTTAAAATATAGGAGAATGAAAGCTTTTCCTAACATTTATTCCCCAATGTGTTAAGGGCACATTAACCAAGTTTGACGGCAATCGCTCAAAATGCCTAGTAGGAGTTTTTTTAAATTTGCCATTAGAAACGCACAAAATTCAACCTTTGACCCAAAATGGCCGACTTCCTGTTGAGTTTGAAACAGGGCTCCAAGAGACTTTTTCATAGGTCTTGAGAAGATACAGATGTTCACCAAGTTTCAGAATTAACAGGTAAAAAATTGCCTGGGGCTGATGTTTAAAAGGATTCTAGGGGGCGCTATGGAGGCTATTGGCCAATTATCATGCATTCCTGTTCAAGGGGTGGATAATGATCGATCATTGTGATTTTGGTACATCTCAGTTCAAAACTGTGCAATTTCGAGCCAAACGTATTGCAATGGCGTCAGTTCTGACTTCGCCACAGCGCCACGCCCACATTCTCCAGCAAAAACGGTTTGCACTTTAAAGCAAGTCAGATCATCTTGTTATATGTCTTCTAACATAGGATCATCCTGTTTAGTTTAAGGATGTCAGAGAGTGAGCATTCCAAGCAAAAAAAGGGACTTCCTGTTCTGAGGGGGCGGGGCTTTGATGACATCAGAATATGACCACAGAGAATCGTCGGGCATCAGACAGGGATCACTCATGCTAAGCTTGGTGCATTTTGGTCTTTCAATGTGAAAGTTATAAAGTTTAGAAATTAATGGCGTGAAGCTAAACTTTGAGGCCTGGCCACGCCCCTTTAACATTTATGAAAAAGCATTTTTTTATTACATTTACTCCCCAATGTCTTAAGGGCATGTCCACCAAGTTTGAAGGCAATATCTCAAAATGCCTAGGAGGAGTTCGTTCAAATTTGCCAAAAAAAACGACCCAAAATTAACATTTGACCCAAAATGGCCGACTTCCTGTTAAGTTTGGACCAGGGTTGCAGGAGACTTTTTCATAGGTCTTGAGAAGATACACATGTTCACCGAGTTTCAAAATTATCGGGTAAAAAATGGCGTGGGGCTGAAGTTTTAAAATATTCTAGGGGCGCTATGGAGGCTATTGGCCAATTATCATAGCTTCCTGTTCAAGGGGTGGGCAATGATCGATCATAGTGATTTTGGTGAACCTCGGATCAAATCTGTGAAATTTAGAACCAAACGTATTGCAACGGCGTCACTTCTGAATTCGCCACGCCACCACGCCCACATCCTCCAGCGAAAACGCTTTGCGCTTTAAAGCAAGTCATACCAACTTGTTATCTGTCTTGTTTTTTTTTTGTTTGTTTTTTTTTGCAGTTTGTAGTCAAGTGTTATTTATTATATTTAAATGATGGTTTTACTAATATTGCCTCAGACAGACAAAAATAAAAACAGTTGAGGACATGCATTTATTTATGTAAATTATCTGAATAAGATCAAATTTGACCAGTTGACCTCCAGAAGGGACGTCTTTGAGGCTTGAACTCCTGCTGGAAGTGACATCATCGTGTTGTTGGGACAACAAAGACACAGTTACACAACTTGAACGCAAACAAAAGCATTTTCTTGGCTGCAGACTTCATCGTTGACGTGATCTTGTCCATCCACGTTGATATCCATGCAGTTCTTGTTTCCACCCAAGTTGTTTGGTTCCCCACTGCCCCAATGAGTGTAGGAGAAGCTGGAGCCATCGCTCCATTTCCACACACCTTCCTCTTCTATATCGGTGCCTCCAACCCAAGCTTTTGTATCGGTCCCTGTAGCAGTCACAATGAGTCTCTGGATAAAATCATACTCATCTTGGTTATGAAAGGAGGCCAAATGTCCACCTTGGTCAATGCAGCTTTCCTCAGCATTATCCCAGTTCACTTCAGTACTGTTGAACAGGTAACAGCATTCTTCATATGGAGACCATGTAGGAGGGCAGAAGTTACAATCTTTTCCTTTACATGTAACTGGTTGTGCATCGCAAAGTATATTTCCTCCAATCCCCAGTCCACAAAGGAGCAACAAGAAGAGCAGACTTGATGACATCTTGTTGTAATGTTTGGTCCAAGCAGCACTAGCAGTAGCAGCAGCAGCAGCAGCAGCAGCAGCAGCACTTGCTGAAAGAAAGATGCCTTTGAAAAGTGAACACAGTGCTTTTATACCTTTACACTGTTGGTGAACCTGTCAGTCAACTGATGGCATGTATTGAGATCGATATTAATGCTGTGTGTGTGTGTGTGTGTGTGTGTGTGTGTGTGTGTGTGTGTGGAGGGGGGTTTGGTTGTGACACCCCTCTATAATAGTGTCAGAGAGGGAGCTTTCCAAGAAAAAAGTGACTTCCTGTTGTGAGGGGGCGGGGCTTTGATGACGTCAGAATCTGACACAGAGGATTGTGAGGCCTCGGACAGGGATGACTCATGCCAAATTTGGTACAATTCGAATGTTCAATGAAAAAGATATAGCATTTGGAAATTTTTGGCGTGAGGCCTAAATTTGAGGCCTGGCCACGCCCCTTTAGCATATATGAAAATGCAATTTTTTCGATTACATTTACTCCCCAATGTCTTAAGATTGTCTTATCCACCAAGTTTGAAGGCAATATCTCAAAATACTTAGGAGGAGTTCGTTAAAATATGCAATGTATGAAAAGTGAAAAAAGCTCAAAAATTACCTTTTGACCCAAAATGGCCGACTTCCTGTTGGGTTTAGGGCATACCTCCAAGATACTTTTTTTCTTGATTCAGTGTGTTCTACCTATGTACCAAATTTCAGCTCTCCACGACTTACCAGTTCTCCTATCTCACGTTAGGGGGCGCTGCTGAGCAGTTTGGCAACGCCCACTTTTGGTTCTATTAAAATACAAAAATTTCACGCGGGGGACAATTTTGGGTAAAGTTTGGTGAGTTTTGGGATATGTTAAGGCCTCCAAATGAGAAATTATTTCGGACCAAGAATCGTAATAATAATAATTAAAGCTGCAAGCAGCATTGAAGGCCCTCGCAGCAAAGCGCCGCTGCAGCCTTACGGCGACCGCGGGAGCTCCAGCAACTCCACCCAGTCGCCATCGCTCATGCTCAAGCTCCCGTCCCACGCCCGTTCACCGTAGTGCGCATTCGCCGAAACGTTGACATCAGCTGCGACCGCAGACATAACTCTTGTAATAATGTAGGGGGTGCACTAGAGTCAAAAGTAAAATACCAATACCATGTGTGTATAAGTGCTCACTAATGACACACCAAAAATCTGGTCCAGATCTGATGATATATCACTGAGATATAACAGTTTGAACAATGTAGGGATGCACTTGAGTCAAATATTAAACAACAATACCAACGTGTCTAGAAATGCTCACTAGTGATCCACCAAGAATCTGGTGCAAATTGTATGATATATCACTGAGATATAACAGTTTGAATTATGTAGGGGGTGCACTTGAGTCAAATATTAAACAACAACACCAATGTGTCTAGACATGCTCACACATTATGCCACAAAAACTGGTGCAGATCGGATGATACATCATAGAGATATAACTGATTAAATAATCTAGGGGGCGCACTTGAGTAAAAAGTTAAAAAACAATACTAGTGTGTCCATAAGTGCTTACTAATGACGCACCAAAAATCTGGTGCAGATCGGATGATATATCACTGAGATATAACAGTTTGCAAAATGTAGGGGTGCACTTGAGTCAAATATTAAACAACATTACCAATGTGTCACAGGGCTAAATAATAATACACCATAAATTTGGTGCAGATCGGATGATATATCACTGAGATATAACTGATTAAATAATGTAGGGGGCGCACTTGAGGCAAAAGTTAAAAACAATAGTAATGTGTCCATAAGTACTTCCTAATTACACACCAAAAATCTGGTGCAAATCGGATGATACATCATAGAGATATAACTGATTAAATAATCTAGGGGGCGCACTTGAGCCAAATAGTAAACAACATTACCAATGTGTCCATCTGGGGTAAATAATAATACACCATAAATTTGGTGCAGATAGGATGATAGATCACTGAGATATAAGTGATTAAATAATCTAGGGGGCGCACTTCAGTCAAAAGTTAAAAAACAATAGTAATGTGTCCGTAAGTGCTTACTAATGATGCACCAAAAATCTGGTGCAGATTGGATGATATATCACTGAGATATAACAGTTTCAAAATTCTAGGGGGCACACTTGAGTCAAATATTAAACAACAAAACCAATATGTCCATCCGTGGTCAATAATGACACACCAAAAATCTGGTTCAGATTGGATGTTGTATCACTGAGATATAACTGTAGGAAGAATATAGGGGGCGCTGTAGAGGCTCTTGGCCACTTTTCATGGAAACCTGTTCAAGGAGTGGATAATGATCCATCATAGTGATTTTGCTACACCTGGGCTGAAATCTGTGTAATTTAGAGCCAAACGTATTGCAACGGCGTCACTTTTTAATTCGCCATGGCGCCAGGCCCACATTCTCCAGCTATAACTGTTTGTAGTTTAAATCAAGTCAGACCATCTTATCTGTCTTCTAACACAGGATCATCCTGATTAGGTGAAGGGTGTCAAAGAAGGAGCATTCTAATTAAAAAAAGAGACTTCCTGTTGTGAGGGGGCGGGGCTTTGATGACATCACAATATGACGACAATGGATCATCAGACATCTAACAGGGATGAGACATGCCAAGCTTGGCGCCTTTCGGTCTTTCAATGTGAAAGTTATAGCGTTTGGAAATTTATGGCGTGAAGCTCAACTTTGAGGCCTGGCCACGCCCCTTTAAAATATAGGAGAATGAAAGCTTTTGCTAACATTTATTCCCCAATGTGTTAAGGGCACATTAACCAAGTTTGACGGCAATAGCTCAAAATGCCTAGTAGGAGTTTTTTTAAATGTGCCATTAGAAACGTACAAAATTGAACCTTTGACCAGAAATGGCCGACTTCCTGTTGAGTTTGATATAGGGCTCCAAGAGACTTTTTCATAGGTCCTGAGAAGATACAGTTGTTCACCAAGTTTCAGAATTATCGGGTAAAAAATTGCCTGTGGCTGATGTTTAAAAAATTTCTAAGGGGCGCTATGGAGGCTATTGGCCAATTATCATGCATTCCTGTTCAAGGGGTGGATAATGATCGATCATTGTGATTTTGGTACATCTCAGCTCAAAACTGTGCAACTTAGAGCCAAACGTATTGCAATGGCGTCAGTTCTGATTTCGCCACGCCGCCACATCCACATTCTCCAGCAAAAACGGTTTGCACTTTAAAGCAAGTCAGATCATCTTGTTATATGTCTTCTAACATAGGATCATCCTGTTTAGTTCAAGTATGACAGAGAGGGAGCATTCCAAGCAAAAAAAGTGACTTCCTGTTCTGAGGGGGCGGGGCTTTTATGACGTCAGAATATGACCATAGAGGATCGTCGGGCATCAGACAGGGATCACTCATGCTTAGTTTGGCGCATTTTGGTCTTTCAATGTGAAAGTTATAAAGTTTAGAAATTAATCGCGTGAAGCTCAACTTTGAGGCCTGGCCACGCCCCTTTAGCATTTATGAAAAAGCATTTTTTTTATTACATTTACTCCCCAATGTCTTATGGGCATGTCCACCAAGGTTGAAGGCAATATCTCAAAATGCCTAGGAGGAGTTCGTTCAAATTTGCTATTAAAAACGCCCCAAAATTAACCTTTGACCCAAAATGGCTGACTTCCTGTTGAGTTTGGACCAGGGCTCCAAGAGACTTTTTCATATGTCTTGAGAAGATACACATGTTCACCGAGTTTCAGAATTATCGGGTAAAAAATGGCCTGGGGCTGAAGTTTTAAAATATTCTAGGGGCGCTATGGAGGCTATTGGCCAATTATCATGGCTTCCTGTTCAAGGGGTGGGCAATGATCGATCATAGTGATTTTGGTGAACCTCGGATCAAATCTGTGGAATTTAGAACCAAACATATTGCAACGGCGTCACTTCTGAATTCGCCACGCCACCACGACCACATCCTCCAGCGAAAACGCTTTGCGCTTTAAAGCAAGTCAGACCAACTTGTTATCTGTCTTCTAACACAGGATCCTCCTGATTGGGTCAAGAGTGTCAGAGAGGGAGCTTTCCAAGCAAAAAAAGTGACTTCCTGTTGTGAGGGGGCGGGGCTTTGATGACGTCAGAATATGACCACAGAAGATCGTGGGGCCACGGACAGGGATGACTCATGCCAAATTTGGTGCAATTCGGTTTTTCAATATGAAAGATATAGCGTTTGGAAATTTATGGTGTGAGGCCAAAATTTGAGGCCTGGCAACGCCCCTTTACCATAAATGAAAACGCATTTTTTTTATTACATTTACTCCCCAATGTCTTAAGGGCATATCCACCAAGTTTGAAGGCAATATCTCAAAATACCTAGGAGGAGTTCGTTAAAATATGCCATGTATGAAAAGTGAAAAAAGCTCAAAAATGACCCTTTGACCCAAAATGGCTGACTTCCTGTTGGGTTTAGGGCATACCTCCAAGAGACTTTTTTTCTTGATTCAGGGGGTTCTACCTATGTACCAAATTTCAGCTCTGCACGACTTACCAGTTCTCCTATCTCACGTTAGGGGGCGCTGCTGAGCAGTTTGGCCACGCCCACTTTTGGTTCCATTAAAATACAAAAATTTCACGCGGGGGACAATTTTGGGTAAAGTTTGGTGAGTTTTGGGATATGTTAAGGCCTCCAAATGAGCAATTCTTTCGGACCAAGAATCGTAATAATAAACAGCACAATTACAATAGGCCTTCGCAGCGCTTCGCTGCTCGGGCCTAATAAACGACACAATTAAAATAGGCCTTCGCAGCGCTTAGCTGCTCGGGCCTAATAAATAAATAAAACCACAAAAAAGGTCATTATTTACAAAAAAAAGACCAACAAAAAATTGGGAGCATATATTATGCTCCTACCATTTATCATGCAGCAAATAAGTCAAAGGAAAAACTAAACTATTAGTTTTTATTATTAAGCTGCAAACGTGAAGAAATGTGCAGCACGTCAAAACCGAAACTAAAAACAGTGGGGCGTTGACCTCCCCACACCACCG